CGTGGCGGGCTTTCTTGGGGCAAGAAGAGAGGGGGGTGGCACTGTTGCGCTCCCGGTTGGGCGAGACAGGCTCCGACTTGATGCTGATGCCGGGGTTGGTGTTGACGGTCAGGGTGGCAGCGGGAGTGGTGGCGGCAGCGTGGGACAGGTGGCTCCCTTGTCTGGGCAGAGAAAGGAGACGGAGGTGAGGGCAGAAACCTCGCCAGCCGGGGGATGGCGAAGAGGGCGGGCCCGTCTCCAAGACCGCCTCTTTTCCACCCATTTCTCCCACCGCCCAAAGACCCCCACGGCCACACAGGCCCGTTTGAATATCTGCGCTAAACATACTCCACTAATTCATGTGTAAAACGAGAAGAGCTTCCAGGGAAACAAACTGAAAGGGAAACATAAAAAAAAAAAAATCCTAGGCAAATAACATTGCTCGTTTAGCCGTCGAAAGCAGATTCCGCACTCCGCTTGCCGACGGGTCAAGACGCTCTCGGAAACAGGTGGGGGCTGTGGGTTGTCCCCCTGCTCGGCCCTGTCCGTCCTCAGGGATCCTCCGGACAAGGACCGGCTGCGCCCACGGCGGGCGGCTGCTGGCCATTTCACGTGGCTTTTTCTTGATAACAGCACGGAAGGAGGCGCTTTGTCCTCTCTTTGACAAAGCACTCTTTAAAAGGCACGCTGAAGGGCCGAATATAGAGTTTATGCCATGCCTGCCTTCAAGGGAAAAAGAGCCTTCAGACAGCTCAGAAATCCAGTCAAACTGCTAAGAAGAGAACAGTAATAAATAAGTAATATTTAAGGTTGTTCTTGTAAGTTACGGTTTTAATGCGAGCTTTCTTACAGCAGCCTGTATCTTGGGCTCAGCTAGGTGGCAGCACCAGGCCAGCTCGGGCTGGTTTTGAGAAGCTAAGCAGGGTCAGATATGGAATGTGTTTGGATGAGAGGCCACCAGGAAAAAACGGGAGGGAGTTAGCCTGGAAGGCAAATAAAATTCTGTTGCCAAGGAAACCGCACGGACGAGTGGTTTAAATATTGTCCAAGGGCTGGAGGCCTGGGGGGGAGATCCAGGTTCAAACCCACTCGCTCCTTCGTGAAGAGAGACCCCCACAGAGGCTGCTTTGGGTTCCCAGGTAAACCTGACCGATGATCATGGTGACTGCGGTGTTCAAGTGCCCCGTCTTTTGGCCCAGGCTGTGTGCAGCTCCGTTTCCCCGGCCGTGGCGCTGAGGTGGGTGAGCAGGAAGCCAAGCTTGGGGGGCCCTGTGGAGTGGCCCTGCCAGGACAGAGCCAGGCGGCTCAGAACTTCTGCCAAGGGCTGCGAGTGCGGGAAGCCAGGCTGAGGCTGACAGGCGGGTCAATCCCAAGCCCCCGCGTCTGCTGCTCCACCGTGGACCCTTCCCCGTCACGGACACCCCAACCGCAGCCCTGCAAGTGGCCGTGAGCATCTGCACTGATCTTTCCCCTCCGTACAGATACCCGGGAGTCAAAAGCCGGCGGTTTTAGCCCACTTCAGAGAAACGAGAAGCCTCTGCGAACAGAGATGCGCTGGGAAAAGTGAAGGAAGCAGAATTCTGCACCGGGCCCAGGCCAGCCCCCTTTCTCTCCCAGTACAGCCCCTCCCAAGAGCTGCCCCAAGAAACATCTATTTCCATGGGCTTTTGCAATCCTTCAGAGAGATGATCTAGCAACCCGTCTCCCCCCGCCCAGCTCCACAGCTAAAAATAGCCAAGGCAGGCATGTTGGCTGCGCAAAATATTCCAAAACCCCATTCAAGGCAGCCCCCGAAAATAAACATCTGCCCCCCCCGACGAAGGCCGAGACCCTCCGGGCCCCGGAAGGGCTGGGCACTCACATTAAGCTGCTGAGGGAGACCGGGATCTGCTGCGGCGGGGGCGGCTGCTGCTGCCAGGCCGAGAGGCTGCCCAGAGACAGGCCGGTAGGCGAGCCGAACGCTGGGAGGGAGGAGAGCTCCGCGCTGCTCAGCTGGTAGTCTGAAAGGAAGCCGGACAGGTCAGGCCGGGCGCTCCCGCTCTGCGGCCCACGCCCCGGCCCCGCGCGGCTTGGCCACACAACATGCTCCGCGTGGAGCCGCCTTGAAGACCCCCCAGAAATTTCAGCTGGTCCAGAATGCAGCGGCATGGGCACGGGCGACACCCGTGGTCGCTTGCTTCCGGGTGCAGCTCAGGGTGCTGGTCAGTACCCGTGAAGCCCTTCATGGCAGGGTTGGCATGCTCCAGGCGCCTTCGATTGAACAGTGCCATCCATGGGGACCCTGGAAGTGCGCCTTTTCTGCCACAGGGCCTGCAGTCTGAAGGTTCACGTGCTCCTCTTGCCTTCAACAACAGGGTTCTGCTCCCCTGGTCCGAAGTCCCCTTCTCTACAGCAGTGTTTCTCAACCTCGGCAACTTTGAGATGGGTGGACTTCAACTCCCAGAATTCCCCAGCCAGCCATGCTCTT